TGTCGGGCCGGCGCAGTCGCCGTTCTCTGCGACGTCGCCGTTCTGCGCGAAATCTGGAGAGAACAAGAATGAGGGTGGGGAGGGGGAGAAGGAGAGGGAGGAGCCGGGCCCGGGGTGGGACCGGTTCGCGTTTAGTATTCGGTTGACGGATTATGCGCATTCTGGTGGGTGTTCCTGCTCCGTGCTCCCTGCTCGAAACTTGGTGATGCTGACGCGCGTTTGCGTTTGTAGCCCCCGCCGGCCGGCAGCATACACACACACACGCACAGGGGCTGCGCGAGCGCGGCGTGGGCGGCGTTGGGCGCGGGCTCGAGGGGAGGGAGCTCGTGCTCGTGGCAAGGTTCTTCGCGCCGTGGGTGCGCGCGGGCGGCGTGGCGCCGTATGCGTGGTGTGGTGAGTCTCCCTCCTTCCCTCCTGTACAACAAGCAAGTTGCTAATGACGACGTCGCGTAGACACGCTCCCGCAGCACACGCCCGCGCAGCAGATGGGCACGGACGTCTCGCCCTCGGGGCGCGCGTGGGTCGGCGCCGGGGGCGGCGGCGCGGGCGAGTGGTGGGATAATAATGGGGGAAGGGATTATCGGGTTGGGTTTCGGTGTGTGGGTGTTGGTGAGTCGGGTTTTCTTTTCGAATCAACGAATGAATGAATACATGCTGACGCACCGTGCAGAACCGACACCCGCGCCCGCGACGAACATCATCCCGTTCCCGAGGGCGTCGTCGCCCGCGCTTGCGCCTCCCCCATCCACCCTCGCTCCTTCGCCCGCACCCTCAGAAGTCAAACCGACGACGATCCCCCCGCCGCCGCCGCCGCGCACGGCGCACGCGCAGGCGCTGGCGGCGAAGCTGGGGCGGCTGAGTTTAAGGAACTATGCGGCGCCGGGGCGGGCGGTGTCGTTGCCGTCGGCGGCGGCGGCGCAGGTGCCTGCGGGTGTCGCTGCTGCTGTGGCGAGCGAGAAGGAGCAGGAGAAGGAGACCGCCAAGGAGGATGAGAAGAAACAGGAGGAGGAGACAGACAAGAAGGAGAAGGAGAAGGAGGGGGAGAAAGAGAAGCCGGGGACGCAGAGTGCGAGCGGGGTGGGGCTGTATTGGCCCTGGGGGCGCGCGGCCGTCGCTGCCCCGCCTGCACCTGCGCCGCCTGTGGCGGTCCCGGCTGCCGCTCCCTCTGCCGCCCCGCCTGTTGCCGCACCCGTCCACGACGACGACTCCGGCTCGTCTTCGTCCGACGACGAGGAGGAGGGGCTGCGCGACGCGGAGGCGGGGCGGGCGCGGCGCGCGAGCGGCGGCTTCAGTGTCCAAGGGGAGGGCGAGGAGACGCCCCCGACGAGCCCGCTCGGCGCGGGCGGGCTGCTGCCTGCCCTCGAGGAGATGGGGCTGTCGGGGGGCGAGGAGGAGAAGGAGAAGGACAAGGGCGGCCCGGAGGACGTGCCGCTGCCCGAGTCGCCTGAGCGGGTGATGTCGCCGTCGCCTGCCCGCCGGGGCGGGAGTGCGAGCCCGCCGACGACGCAGGCGCAGACGCCGACGCCGCCGGTGAGCCCGACGACGCCGCTGACGCCGAGCGCGGCGGACGCGTCGTCGAGTTTGTACAAGGCGTTTGTGCGGCAGTGGTGTTTTGCGGGCAACGGCAGCGGCGGCGGGGCGAGTGGGGGGGTGAGCCCGCCGGTGGGGACGGGGGCCGTGCTTGGGGGGTTGGTGTAGGTGGGGTGCGCTCGTCGTGGCGCGGTGCAAAAGAGAAGAGAAGAGAGGAGGGACGGGACGAGATGACGTGCGGGATGGTCGGCCGGCGTTAGGTCGACGCCGAAGGACGCAGCAGCACGACGCCACGAGCCACGAGCTGGCAGCCGGCCCGACAGGAGGAATGGCGGACGAGGACGAACATTGAACGAATAAATGTACGACGACGACACGACGATACAAGCAAAACAAAACGCGCCGCAGCCGCACCCAAAAAGAAAAACGAAGAACGACACGACACACACCAGACAGACGATGGATCCACGGACACGGTGCTGCCGCAGATACACGCGAGGCTGTTTATGACTATTCGGCGGGCTCTCGACGACCGACCGACCGAGGCGGCGCCCCCGACCGACCGACAAAATAAAAGGCGCGCGGAAGCAGCCGCACGAAGCGCCCCCACCGAGGATCCGAATCCCGACTGGACTCTTTCTTATTTATCCCTCATCATATCTGGCTGGCCGAGCGCCCCGCACCACACTCTTTTCCTTGTTGTACAACACATTCTCTGCGCACGGTCAGCTGCCCGCACATCCCCGCCCACCAACACCAGTGTACGCGTATTCATCTTTTGGTGTCTTTTGGTTTTTTTGGTTTCCTGCCCCTTTATCTTATCTCTATCTCTGCATGCAACATATGTACATCATCCATCTCTCTCATCTCGGCGCGTGTACGATACTTCGATGCGACGATACTTTTTCTCAATTCGATTCAGATACACTTCACACGTACCCACAAACACGGACAGATATAGAAGCGCTCCAGCGGACTTGCCGTGAAGCGCACATAAAATACGATACATGCGATACGATACGATACGAAGCGGACACTCCCGCGCGCCCGCCAAACACGCCTATCTACAAATATAGGGCGGGCGGCGCGGTTGATATATATAGTGGTATTTTTTGCTAACTTATTTGGATTGGGGCCGTGTCGGGCAGGCTATAGATTGGGTTTGCACGATTGTATTTTCGGTTACTTAGTTACAACGGTGTATGTACAATAGATGCATATAGATATGTTGATTCGTTCCGTGGTTTTGTGGGCTCTTGACTGGCGTAGTGTGACGGAGGGAAGACGCGTAAGGAACGCGCGGGGACGAGTAAGTAACATCGGACTTGCGGGCTGGCATTTTTGTGAGCACTTGATTGGCGTGGTTTGACGGGGGGAAGCCGCTTGAGGAACGTGCGCGGACGAAGACAAGATGGGGAGTACTGTAAGACCTGCGGGCTGACATTTAATGTGGCGGCGAACTTGGGCATTGTGGAAGGTGGAGCAGGCCGACAGCGGCTAGCAGGGATAAGAGCATAAAGTCGTCATTTCTGACGCGTAGACAAAGAGTACCATGGACCGCCGGTTCCAGAAGATCTTCTGGTGGTTGCTGAGACGTTGAGACGACGAGACCCGATTGATAGTAGAAAGACTGTGCTCCCCGACGCGGATCGGACGGACGATGGGAAGGGGAAGCAGGTGAACAAGGTGGGATGAGTCAAAGTGTCGTAGTTTGATGTGGGCCGCTGGATGGGATAGGACGATAAACCGGCGACGAAGCCTGAGGATCGCACCGGCGTCGACGAAGGCGAAGGCGGACCCAGTGGGACCGGGTATGAAGAGAGAAGGTAGAGCCGGGTTGCGGTAGGACGCCTCGTTCCGCGGGGAAAGGAGAAAGCAGTAAGCGTGCGGGGACAATTCGCTGTTGCGTGGACGAGGAATGGGGGAAATAGGGAGGAATGGGGAAACGACATATGCGAGGAAGCTGCTGGAGGTATATGTGACCGAGATGTGGAGTGGGAGCGGGAGATAAGCAAAGGAGGCGCGTCATTCATGACGTCGGTGAGAGGCGCGGGCGAATCTGATGAGTTCCAAGATAAAGGCGAGGCCCGCAAGGCCGTTCACGCGGACAGTTGTCATGGTCTTGTGGAAGAAAGATCGTAGTGGAACATAGGGAAATGTGGTCGGCTAAACTGCGAGAAGAGCTTTGCAAAAGGTAGCAAGAAGGAAGCAGACCGTGGAGGACCTCCACCTTGCCATAATATTAATTGTTGCACGCCGGACAGTTGACCGAGGTCGATCGAGCCTTGTATCAGAATCTGGATTGGTGGCGTCGAATTGCGACGGGGCGGGGCGGCATTTGGTACGCAGTGATAAAATCTCGACCACAAAAAGCATGAGATAAAGTGCATTGTTCCAAGCCACTAAAGTCTGGGCAATGCTAATCTTGTCGTCTTCTTGTTGCGGTTAAATGTACTTTGCACAAGAAATCAGAAGAAACCGTCGCTGTTGTATACATGCCCAGGATGGCAGATGCACAGAGATATCGAGGCAGACATGCTCGAAGAGGGAACCAAGTCTCGGTGGATCGATGGACAGCGAGCCACGGCAGTCAAAAAAGCTTCGCGCGCCAGTGCTTCCGGCGGGACCGTCAGTCTGAATATGGCACGGGTGTGAGTGCAAGGTCTTCGAAGAGCGGTGCTACGACGAAGATATGGTAAATGTCGGAATATCCACTGCAGCTGCAAGATCGACCAGAGCTGCCGTGCGGGTGCCTTGTTTGCCGGCGACCAAGTACGGTATAGGTCTGTCCAGGGGAATCAAGAAGTTGCGTATATCGAGCTGCGGCACAAGTGCGAAGACGTTCGGCGGCTGCTGGGTGAGAACAAGAGATATTTTGAATGGTACAACAGAGCGGCTGGCGCGGCCGCAGTGTTCTGGCTCGCATGGTGCCTCGGACATTCCACGCTTCAATAACGCGGCCAGTCGACACCAAGGTTAAAGCGCGGGATTTGAAGAGAGTTGCTGCGATTCTAGAGTGGGAGTCGCACCGAGGTGTTCCTTCGGGGAGCAAGCTTCGCGACCGAACGACCGTGGGTGCAACCTAGTTCAGAATACGGCCCTTTTTTGACTTTGGAATACATTGCAGATCCAACGGCTTGCCCCGACGGGATGAGAACGCTCAGCAAAAATCGTGGCGCAAATACAGAGGTCAGGCGAAGATCTTGAGAAAGCAAGCGACTGCACTGGGCCGAGCGAGAATCCGAAATTGAGCCAAGCACAAGAGTTTGGAAATCGGTAGAGTTGCGGCAGTGTCTGCACAATGCGGACGCAGAGGGATGGAGAGCAGATGCGGACCACGCCGGGGGGAATTAGTGATTGCAGAACAAAGATAACACCACTCCCGCTCAGCTTACTTACCGGATGATTGGCGATTCGACGCAAAAGGTCGCTACCAAGGCCCAAATTCTACTTGGGACGAACCCAATATGTCTTGACTAGTATATCGGTTAGTACACGCGCTTGTCATATTCAAGTGTCTAGCCATCCGCGCGAAAGCTGGGTTCGACTCCCAGGTCGAGAGTTTTTTTCTCCAACCGCAGGCCGCACGCAGGCCCAACCAAAGCCCACAGTAATTCACTTGCACCTGGTCTGTGTTGTCCGCACCTTTCGTTTCGCAATTGCCAGTGCCTTTCTATCAAAGTTAACGCGGTTTACTCCCAGAGGTCTTGCGACAGATGTGTTGCCGATCTAAGGGCAGGGTGGACTTGGACTGACATGTCTTGACTAGTATATCGGTTAGTACACGCGCTTGTCATGCAACGGATCCGCCTAACATGTCCGCGCGAAAGCTGGGTTCGACTCCCAGGTCGAGAGTTTCTTTTTGCCGACTCTCAATTCCTTACTTAATATCATAATGCCAGCAAACCAGCCAACCTTAGACTAAAAAGTCTTCGATGCACACCGGCCCAACTGTCGAACGTCGAGCAATTTGATGTTGAACACCAATCTTGAACAATCCATCGGAGACGGTCCACAGATAAGTCATAATCATCCTTGAAAATCTCATTCTTAATAAATTCAACGGATGGTTTCAACATGTGAGGTACGAGCTCAAAATTGTTGAAGTGTCTGCCTAGGAGAGACTGGGTACTATGTTGAGCAAGAGACGGTATTGGTCAGATGTCCTCAGAGCAGCCCTGGAGGGAAAAGACATAATTGGGACCCACCCAGAGGGCTTTGGTTTTCGCTTGTGTCCTGGTGCGTTCCTGCTGGTTTCCCATATTATTATGAAATTTTGATCATCCTCGTGTTTCGTCGTCCGTCCCGTTCAACTTCTGCGGCACGGTTGCGTAGAGCCATTAATGCCTCGTTCCTCGGCAGAAAATGAAGGAAACACGCGTGTTGGTCATCGAAACTGTTCTAATCGCGCAAGAGAAGGTTCCTTTGGCAGGTTGAACTCTCGGCGCAAGCGGCAATGGATGTTGCGGTTATCTGATAGCGGCGATAACACCAAGATCGAGAGATAAGATCGATAAGATAGAATCCTGCAAAAATAGCGCAGCCCATGCAAGTGGTGAATTGAACCAGAAAAACGGAATTGAAGGTGAAGCGGTCAAAGCGTGCGTTACGAGGACCGATTTGGGCCCGAACTTGAATTCACGAAGGCAACTGATTTTTTTGGAGGTGTCGTATTGGAAAGGCGGGACGCAGAGACGGATTTTTGACGCCGGCTGCCTCATCGCAGTTATCCCGGCTCACGTAAATAGACGTTGCAGGGTTACTCGATTTAAAAGATCTGTCCCACAGACATTAGATAACGGTGGTGGTTAAATAGAGGAGATTGAGATTATCAGATACCAGTCTTCAACCTCGCGAAAGCTCTACATTCATACCTCTCCTGAATATGCCATCCCACACACCTGTTGTTACCCTCGACTACCATGACTTTCTGATCGCCGCACACTGTGAGCAATTTTCCACTGCACATAAACCGACCTTGATATTATCTTTCAAAGCCATTTTGACGTCGGTGGCCGCACTGATCGCTGCCCCAGCCGCCATCCTCATCGGGCGCTACTTTCGGTCGCGAAGCTGGTGGTTCAAAGCGCATGTCACACTCCAGACGTTTACCGCCATCTTCGTTATCACCGGGACCGCCCTGAGCCTCGTCTCTGTGGTCCACAACGGGAACGGGAACCAGCTCACCGGCCGTCTGAAAGACCCGCACCACGACCTCGGCGTCTCCATTCTCGTGCTTTTCCTGCTGCAGTTCGTCTTCGGGGTAGTCGCGCACTACACGCACTCCGAGGGGCACTCCAAGGGCAGCGCCTTCCCGACGTTGACGACACCGAAGAATCCCCTCCGCCATGTGCACGTCGTATTTGGGATCGTCATGACGGCGTTGTTGTATGCGGGGGTCAAGACGGGGATGGACGAGTGGGATAAAGTTTCTGACAGTGGCACGCGGGTTCCCAAGGGCATTCGCACCGCGTACTGGGTTCTTTTTGGCCTCGCGGTGGCGGCGTATCTTTTTGGGTGGATTTTGGAGCCTATCCGGCGCGGAAGTGAGCGGGATTCTGTTGACGCTGCAAGTCTGGAGAAGGTGGAGGAGTGAGAAAATGGAGGAGTGTAGAGGCTGGCGATAGCTTCCGACCCTTTGCAAATTTCTTCGGTACTAGTTTTACTTTTTCGGGCGTGTCGAGTCTCTGCTTTGCAAAAATTCAGTCTCATAGTTTCAAGCCAGCGTCGAGATGTTCGAGAGAGCTTAGAGGAGCGAGGAGGTTAAGTGAAGGGCTGGGAATTCTGAGCATGAATTCGAAGTTGACGTCGCGCGAGTGTGAATGGGCTAGTGTGGTCACAGCCGGCCAATATGTCGGAGTTCCACCGTTTCAGGTCTCGAGTATCGGTTCAGAACCGAGCACGCTGGGTGCGGTACGCAGGCGGCAACTATCGAGAAGCCTTATCTGCCAGCGAGTGCAATCCGGACGCCTTGAAAACCGGGGCTATGAGATCTCGAGACAAGACAACTTCCGTGTATGCACGACCGGATATCGATATTGCGGACAAAAAAAAAAAGCGAGACAAATGCGCACAGTGTGTTCTTCAAGGGGCTAAATACAGGGCTTGAATTGGTTGCATAGGTGAATAAATCCTGAGAAGCAGCACATAAACGCCCTGGTGGAGTCCGCCTTTTTATTTTTTCGTACGTTGAAAAGAGGCACTCCAAGTTACCAGTACCGCAAAGAGAATTTTTCCGCGATGTCCTAGGGCGGGTGGGACGTTAATGGTGCTGGCGTTGAGCAACTAGAGACGGGCCGGCACTTCCCGGTTCGGATTCCTTATATTTGCCGCAGACCACGACGTTCAACAAAGACTGTACAAGGACGGTGCCTTGGAGAGCTACATTCGCTCTAGACGTTCCCCAACCGTTCCCTTCGACGGTGCTGCTACTAGGGCTCCGACAGTTATCGTCTGTCACGGTTCTCGTGCAGGGTGCCACTTCACGCGCGTATCATGGTGTTCCTCCCGGAGGAACTTGTTCATGCCATCGTCAATGAATTCTGTGACGATACTCCCTCTTTAAAAGCATGTGCACTCGCAGGATCCATGCTTTGCGGCGCGAGCCAGCGCCTCTTGCTCAGCTCGTTCACCCTGAACCAAAACATCACTGGAGAAGCTAGCATTCTGGCTGCCCATGCTCTTCTCGAGGAGTCGCCTCACATTGCGAACTATATCACCCGCCTCAGCATCAGGCTTGAATGGTTTGTAGACGAGGCTAGCATCCAGAACTTACAAGGCAGCCTCCAACAGATTCTTGGGAAGATGGTGAATGTGCGCCAGTGCATCCTGAGCGGATCATTTCACCACACTCCAACGTTTATCTCGGCGCTCTTCGATTTTCTTACGCGCCAGCCTCTTCGCGAGCTCAATGTCAACCTCTGGACTGAAATCTCAGCAGTTACAATTCTGCGTTTCCTCACAATCGCTCCCGTGGTCTCCTTCCGCGAGGTGGTCATCAATCAGGACTTAACCGCATTATCAGACCTCTCCCAACATACCCCGAAAGTTGAAGACTTGTTCATCGACAGGTCTGCGCCCCAGATCTACGAGCTCTTGGCTCAGCCGCAATTCAAATCTTTCACCGGCACGCTGCGCCATTTGTTCGTCCCGTCCCTGAGTGCTGTACAGCTCCTGGTTGCAACTGCGCCTATGCTGGAACATCTTCACTTGGAGGGTTTGTCCTGCGATGAACTGCTTTCAACTTGAATACTGACACAAGACTAGATCTCAGCGGAACAATCCTCCCACCCCCATTCCCTTTGCTCCGCTCCTGCGATTTCTCCTTTCCCTTTCACACCTTCAATCCCCAGTTTTGGGTCCTCATTTCGTCCATGCTCGGAACGAGCCCTCTGCTCGTCAACCTCGTCATTTCACTCGAGATTGTGCCTCGACGCTGCACCTCAAACGCAGTGTTGTTGACCAACCTCGATACTGCGCTTGCGGCTCATCCCAGACGCCCGCATGTTCGATGGCGGCTCTATTTGAAAAAATGCCGGAACGAGGCTGTGCGCGCAAAATTCCTCGCCAGGTTCGACAAGGGGGCGTCGTCGACACCGCTAGATGAATAAATGAATAAATGAATGAATGATGTGTGAATGGCGGCCTGCGGCCGCTATAAGGGGACAGAAGGAATAGGAGCATGGACGATAAAGAGACGAGGGTTTGCGGGGGAGGGGGCCGCTCCGCGGCCGGCTCGCTTGAACGTCTACTCACCGTGAGAGGTGGGGGACGAGCGAGGCGGGATGAAATCGGCGGACGGTCCCGACTCCGGTACACAAGGATGAAACGGGCCCCGATGGATGAGGCGACCCGAAACAACCAAGCGTGAGCAACAGGACGTGGGTGGGCGGGACTCGAAAAAAGGTGTTTGAGGGAGAGGATTGAGCGAGAACGCGGAAGGTGAAAGGTGAAAGAGGACGCGACTGGAGCGCGTCAAGATGAGATGATCACGTGTATGTATAGATGCTATCTAATCTCGCTCCTCGCTGCCCTTGTCTTCCACTCAGGGAGACTCGTGCCTCGCCTCTCCTGAGCTCGCAACAAGGGGGCGTCGTCGACACCGCTAGATGAATAAATGAATAAATGAATGAATGATGTGTGAATGGCGGCCTGCGGCCGCTATAAGGGGACAGAAGGAATAGGAGCATGGACGATAAAGAGACGAGGGTTTGCGGGGGAGGGGGCCGCTCCGCGGCCGGCTCGCTTGAACGTCTACTCACCGTGAGAGGTGGGGGACGAGCGAGGCGGGATGAAATCGGCGGACGGCCCCGACTCCGGTACACAAGGATGAAACGGGCCCCGATGGATGAGGCGACCCGAAACAACCCGCACGGAGCAAAGCTCTAAGAGCGAATAGCTCGCGTGAGGGACGGCGACTCAGAGGGCCCGAGGAACCCCAAGGAGCTGTGCTCCGTGTCATGAAAATAATGCGGTGGATTATGCTAAAGAAAATACATGCTAATCGTCAATAACATCGAAGCTGAGGTGGGCGTCGGGCGAGTGTCCATGCGCGGAAGCGAATGCGTGAATGCGGGATTTCCATGCCGTCGTAATCCTGTCTGGGATGATCTGCTCGAGACGCCGCCAGTAAATGAGGAAGCAGAGCGACGTCCAACCTCCCAATTTCATGATAACCTCGGGCTCGACCCCGGCCAGGAGTAGCTCCACCGAACCACCGATGCGGTAGCTGTGGCCGTAAACGGTCTCGAGGCCGGCGGCGATGTAGACCGAGCTTGTGTGCGCGATGAAGTGGGCTTTGGTTGGGGTGTGCCAACGACCGTCCTCCCGAAATGCGAAGAGGGGGGTGTGAACGG